GTTTCATGCGAAGATCCCATCGGCCTTCGTTCATCACAAACGCAGTCTTAGCTATTCGTTAGCGGTTCACATATCTCAGATTGTCGCTTTCGGATGGCCACTGCAGCTTGGGGATTCGTCTGGTAAGATGACCAAAGACCATCGTTGATTTGTGTTTTACAATTGTTGGGGACGATGTGGTGGTAGCGGTGTGGTGGTAATGGTGTTAGTGATGGTAGTGAGGTGGTGGATACAGATTCATACTCAGATCTCACTGCGGTGGTGATGGTGTTAGCGATGGTGGTGGCGGCGACGGCTGGGGCTACAGATTTAGATCCCGCTACAACTGGTGGTGTTTGTAGTTTGGGGGTGGTTATGGTGGTGTTTTACAGGTAGAGATGCTAGTGGATTTGGCGGTGATGAGCATGGTGGTGTTTTCGTGGTGGATATGGGGTGGTCAGCATGGCGATAAGTTGTTAAGGTTTTTATTGGTGGTGCAAGTGGAGGTAGTGGCAGTGGGGGTGGCGGTAGATTATGGTGATGGCGGCGGCGGCGGCGGTGACCTATGGTTAGGTGCGGTGGTGGTGGGGGTTAATAACCCAAATAGCCACTAAACTTTGCAAAAAGTTTTCACATGGTCACTGAACTTTAAAAATCACTCAAGTCATCACTAAACTTTATAAAATGTTTACACGGGGTCACTAAACTTTAAAAATCACTACATTCATCACTAAACTTTGTAAAAAAATTTCTCTGGGTCACTGAACTTTGCAAAAGGCTTCCCAGATGATCACTGCATTAGTTATCAGTGATCCACTGAGAAACTTTTTGTAAAGTTTAGTGATGAATGAGATGACTTTTAAATTTTAGTGATCCCGTGTAAATCTTTTGCAAAGTTCAGTAATGACTTGGACAATTTTTAAAGTTCAGCGACCCTGTGAATTTTTTTTTGCAAAGTTCATTTACCATTTGGGTTATTAACCCGTGGTGGTGTGTGGTGTTGTTTTGGCGATGGTAGCAGTGGTGACTAGTGGTATGTGCGGTGGTGTTGCTGGTGCGGCTGGTGATGGTAGTGTTGCAAAAATGGCGGCGGCTGGTAGTGACAATGTCAAGGATGGTTGATATTATTTTTGTTGGGAGTGTATTAGATCTAGTGGTGGTGGCTTTGTTGGTGGTGGTGTAGCGACGGCGACGGCGACAACGAGGGGATAGTGTCTGTGACCAATTATTTGCTTGATTTGTGACCAAATATTGGTGGTGGATCGGGATCGGGGGTGAGGTGTTTTGGTGTATGTGACCAATTATTCGGTTTATTGTAACCAACTATTAAAATGTGACCTTAAAATTCGATAATTTGTGATTAAAAAATAATGTGTAGCCTAAAAAATTGTTAATATGTGACCAATAATTTGATAATGTGCGAGTGCCTAATAAGTCGTGACTTATAATACTTGTGATTTATGATCGACAAATAAATTGATACGTATAATTTTTTAAATTTGTGATCGATGAACAAATTGTTACTTATAAAAATTTTAAATTTTGACCTAAAATAATTTGTAACATATAAAATTTGTGATTTGTGACCAATTAATAATATGTGACTTCTTAATTTGATAGATTTGTGACAAATGAATAAATTGTGACGTATAAATTTTTGATTTGTGATCGATGAATAAATTGTGATCTATAAAATTTTTGAATTGTGGTCGTAAAATAATTTATGACATATAGAAATCGTGATTTATGATCAATTAATAATATGTAACCAATTATATGAAATTTGTGACCAAATTATAAAGAATTTTGACTTTAATATATTTAATTAATAAAATATATATTTAATTAATAAATTTATAAATAAAATTTGAAAAAGTCCGAGATTTGAAATTTTTGGTGAAACTTAACATTTTAGTTATGTAATCTTCCCTTTTATCTAATAGTCATATTTTGATTATTACACTTTTGTTCATGTCTTGTATGATATTCCCTCGGAACTTTTGCTTTGTGGGTTAATTACTTGATTGGTTATTGAATTTTACGTAAAGTTTTCAGAAGGTCATTGAATCCTGTGGGACGCGTCAGAAAGTAGTGAGGGGATAAGTGGGCAGAAGCCCACCCCAAAGAAGCCAGTCCGTAAGATACCGGTACCGGTGGGGGGCCGAGACGTTACAATATATTAACATAAAATTGTTATAATTTTANGGGCAGAAGCCCACCCCGAAGCGGATAGTACGTACGCTAACGGCTCCGATAGGAGGTCGGGTCGTTACATATATGATTAGTCACTGAACTTTACAAATGTAATCACATTCTTCACGAAGAATTTCAAAAGATTTTTTTCCTTTTGTTATTGAATTTTACAAAAGTGTAATCACATTCATCACTCGGTGACTAACATGATAACTTCTAAAATTCAATGATTCCTTAGAAACCTTACGCAAAGTTCAATGACCAATCATATAATTAACCAATATTTATATTTTTTTAGTATTTTTCTTTTTTTTTTCTATACTCTTATCCTACAATTTTATTCTCTCTAGAATAGTCAAACTTAGAAAAGGAATAATCTTTTATCTCGGGGATAATCGACAAGGTTTTCTACTGACCTCTCTAAGATCA